TCTCATCTGTTCATTTACTTTACATTTTAATACTAATATATATATATATATATTTTTATTTTTTTTTCTTTGAAAACTCCTAAGCTGCAAGCAAGCATGGATACAGTTGCTAGGCAACATAGCACAAAGCATGCATCATGGAGAGAATGCAGAACATGTATGAAATGTGTGTCTTTTCAATTTTATAAAAAACACATTGGGTAGGAGCATCAATACCAAAATGTCAAAAGGGATACATATAGACATAATTGACAGATAAGTAATTATCAGCTACAATCTGAAGTTGTACACAAATTGTCACTCCAAATGTACTAGTAGATCATACACAGGTAATGTTTGCAAAAATGATTAAAGACCATTGCAATAAAGAAAGCATACTTTATAATACTACAGGGATGTGGAATTCCTATAGCCCGACACATGCAGTTTTTTTCCCCCCTACATTTAGACCTGCTGCTTCAGGCAAGCAGCAGGGCTAAAATGTAGAGAGGGGGGCAGTTTTGTACAAGTGATCTTAGGTGGCTGTACAACCACCCAGATCACTTGTAGGCAGCCTGCTGGTCCCCCTCCATGGTCCACTCCAAGCTCGCTCCTGTGATGGACTACAATCTCAATACAAATTAATAAACTAAAAACATGAGATTGTCTTTACCTGTTAAAAAAAAATATGAGATTGTAGTCCATCAAAGGAGTGAGCTTGGAGCGGTGGCTACTCTACAACTCACACAGGGACCATGGGGAACAAAAGTAGCCACCCTCCAGAAGGACAGTGTCAGCACCAATTCAGAGATGATTTGAGGATCTACAGCTGAGTGATACACAAATAAGATATTCTTGTTAATAGTTAAGGTATTTGAATGCAATTTTGAGATTTAACTCCTGAGTTTAGTGTCACTTTAAGGAGTTGAGAATATTTATCCGATAAATTGTAGGTGTTTATGTTGAATACCCAATCTTGTGCAGATGAAATACACATGAAGTTGCTTTTCACATAACTGCATAATTAAACTAAATCTTCATTTAATTTATTGATAGAGATTTAACTCATCATCTTTAGCGGGTTATGACAAGTTCTTATACTGTGAATGTTACTTATACAGAATTTTAGCCCATTACGTGTGAACATTACATTTTACTATGGATTTACAACCTTTTTAAACATAGGTTCCAACCAGTGTTCAGATGAAAATCTTTCCAACCAGAACTCAGGTTTTAAAAAACAAGCAGAACAGATGCAAATTAAGCTTATTATTCATCATTGACTAGTAAAAAACTGATTCAAAACCCTAATAAAAAGTCACTCCCTTCTAAAGCACGTAATCAACACATTGGATTTTACAGCGATTTCAACTAACGGCACTTGATACCATTTCAGAAATATAAACCAGTTTAACCTGATTACAGACAGTGTAAAGTCTACTACACCCAGACTCTCCTGAAGGCCATGGGCAGGGCAGTCTAACATGAAAATGGTATATTCCTTAATACAGTATAACATGTATTGTCTCACTGCAAGATACTAGGTGGATGAGTACATATCAGATCATGGTGTGACGTGACATACGTTGCTTCTCCCCTGCTCCAAAAGCTTCTCCCCTGCTCCAACTCCAATATCTAAAGGCCAAACTTTTTTGTATTGAATAGAGAAGGGAAGGGTTAAAACCGTTGTCTGTATTTTAATGCAATTGTCTCAATTGGGAGATCTCACTGCACTTCCCCTTCTGTAGACATACAAGTGTGGGGCTATCCCTCATATGGCAGACAGTTGTCACAGGAACAAATGATCCATTGGAAGATTTCCCCCTCTATTCCTGTTCCGAGGCAACTCAACATTTTGGATTTCTCTCGCTTTTATTTCCAGTGAATAGGGACAATTATAGAGGATGAATCTCCCAAACTGGGACATAGATAAAACCTGACATGGGTCCCAACCTGTCACTACCCTACGCAGAACAAAAAACGTTTTCCCTTTAGTTATAATTTAAACATCAGGACTCTCAAACAATCCACGCGCACCAAAACGACGACAATGCAGTGTGCATTAAATTATTGTTAACCCATTCTTATGAAATGACTTCTGAATCTAACAAAGTACATGTCAGCAATACCAAAACACTAAAAGTGATCGGTATTTTTGTGCCCAGCAGAGCTTTGCTCCAACTAAAATTACAATCCAATCACATTTTATGCAAGTGTAAAATTGTACTGTGTGTACTGAGCCACTAAAACGCAAACTGGAGAAAGATGCTGATTGCTTGGCATGGGCAACTGCTCCAGATTCTGCTCGCTCCAGTTTTGATAAATCCCCTCCAATGTTTTCACTTTTCATTTTCCCTGACAAGAATGGAACCTTATTTGTTAACTAGCAAAACGTAGTTTTACCTAAACCGTATTTCCACATCTGAAGGGAAATTGGGATAACACCTTTTGTATTTGTCACATGCTCTCATTCACATAGCATATATATTTTAAAAAAAAAAAAAATCTGGGGCTGGGGAGTAGATGTTTACCATAATTAACCCTGTTTGTACTGTACCAGAACATCTCATTATCAGTTGTGAACACTGTCTGTTCTAATGAGAGGACATTCACTCTGCCCCTGCTAACCTAACTACTAAATTTTGAAATTATACAATGTAGCTTGCAGTCCAGCCAAATGCCCGGATCAAAGAAACATTTAACTACCTTCCGTCCATGGCCGTTCGTGAACGGCCGGACGGAAGTCTGCTAGGAGCGGGAGGGCGTCTTAAGGCGTCCTGCCCCTCCCCCTTCTCGTGTGCGGCACTCAGCGCGCACACGAGAAGGAAAACTGTAAGCATGTAAACAGCCAGCGATGGAGACGGGCGTCTCTTTATAGGGAAACATGTTTTTTTTTTCAAAATTTAGGGTACTTTTTTTGTTATATAGTAAAAAATAAAAACCCCGGTGGTGATTAAATACCACTAAAAGAAAGCTCTGTCCCCAAAAAATGGTATGAAATTCATTTCAGTGCAGCGTTGCATGACGGAATAAACATCAAAGTACCGCAGCGCTGAATACTGAAAAATGGCCTGGCCAGGAAGGGGGTGAAACACCATGGCCTTTAAGTGGTTAAAAAGGTAAATACATATTTTTTTAAATTCCATATGCTGCGTGAATGAAACATGCAACACAGCGGTATTTTCTCAAATGTTACTGAATAGGTGGAATAACAAAAAAACACAAACACTGTTTCAATCCCCTGAACAACAACATAAACATTAGCAAAAATTATGAGTGAAGAAAACTTAAATTTACATGTAACAAGCAATTAAACTGTTAAAATCACTTACAGCTCATCTCGTTGTCTCTGTGACAGGACCATGATTAGCAAGTCTCTATGACTTAATATAGGAGAGTTTCAGGAGTTCACAAATCCTATGGAACCCCGAATCTGTAAAGCATACAGCCACAGAGTGGCTTCAGTTGTCGGAAACCTCTTCACCACAGGCAGAGTTCCAAAGAAAACTTGGGAGTCATTCAAGAAATGTTCATTCCACCTGGAAAGCAAAACAAAAACAATTAGTGATTTTTTTTTAATACAAGATAAGAAATGAAATCTTTAGCAAATGAAAATGCTCGTCAATACGATGCAAGGCTCTCCAAAATAATCTGAGAACTGTTTCAGGTGTTGAAGTACTCATTCTGTTTTATATTTTAAACTGCAGTATCCTTTACTGCACAGTTTAAAATAAATACTTTTGATGTGGTTTTGCGTTGTTTCAATGCACGCTCTTCCATATTTTTGTAAATCTATTTAGGAGTGTTCTGTTAATTAACCACAAGAGGGAGCTCTGCATTCCACAGACCAGCGAGTGAAATTTTATTTGAGAAGAGGAGGTCCGGATCTCGTGTTCCCTAAATACACCCTACATTAGACGTCCCCATCAGTTGCTATTAAAGTGTGTGCTTACATTAATAACCAAAGTAAGGGGACACCCGATGAGGACAATAATTAGTTGTTCCCATGAGAGTGCCCCCTTACACTGGCGGTCCCCATAAGAGTGCCCCCTCCTTTCATAATATAAGGGGGCACTCTGATGAGACAAATTAATATAAAGAGGCACTCTGATGGGGACAATTAATAGAGGGAGAGGTGGTAGGTTTGCATAATGTTTACAAGCAATACACAAAGCAAAAATGTTTGCATTATATACAAACATGGGGAGGGGGGCTGCGGGGACTGGCCCCCATTACATAAGCAGGCAGTCCTTCTGCCTTTGCAATTCTAGAAAATGTGCATGTTTTACTGCTTTCTCTCACAATTCAAGTTTGAGTCAGCTGACTTAGTGAAAACAAATTCCCTCAATGTTTCACTAATATCTTATCTTAGCAGTCATTAAACTGGGTGGGCAAGTCAAACATCTAGTGATTCATTTACATAGCTGTACATCTAATACAGTATCCAAAACAGAGGAACCCATAGGCTGCCTATCAGGTCTATTAGATAGGCAAACCAACAGCCAAGTGAATGAGTACCTCACTACCAAAAAAACCCCAAGGAGCCAGGGGGAAACAATCGGTCCGATCAGATGCAGTCACTGGCCGGATATTCTGACAGCCGTGGATTTTGTGGTCATCTGAATACAATCCTGCACTGAGGATTACTCCATCCAAGCAGTTTAGTGTTTTTATTTTCATATGTGTATGGCTAGCCTGTGTGTTACCAAGCTTTGTTTTAGGACCCCGTGTCAGCAGAGTCTCACAAGCACTTGTAGATTTCTCTGTGTGAAGCGTTGTGCACCTATAATCACTTCTCCATAAAAATGCAAATGAAAACATAGGGAGAGACCAACTCCAATCTGCAACGGACAACCATTTTACAGGAAACCGAAAACAAACAAAACAAAAAAAACCTCATATCTTCAAGTCCCAAACAATTCGAGTCCAACCTGCCAAACGCAATTATAAATGTAAATCGGGCAGAGGTAGATGTAAGTATTCACCAATATGTACCTCATGCAATTGTAATGACCGATGCATACATGAAAATCATACAAGGGATCGGCATCATTGGAATTCAATAGAAGAATACAATAGTACTTCTAAAACAATGTCATTCAGTTCCTGGGTAGGATTATGTCTCTGCAGTCTTCTCTGCCATAGTGAAACATGTCCAGACCAAATCCAACTCTGAACCCTGCCTGATCTCTAAATCTGGGCACAACCACCACAGGATACAAAACGCAGAGGTAACCGTGTCTAACATGATGCTCTGCTGTGTCCAGACAATACCCACATTTAACGCCGAACCTACCAAATCAGCAATAGCAGTTACTATTATAATCATGATGGTTTCAGGCAATTATACAGGATGATATAGAGTAAACCTCTAAAATCCTAAACAAGCTATTCAAAAAGCAAAATTTCCAGAAGCCATCATTTACAAAGGAATCAGTGCTGGACATGGCAATATGGGATGGGGGTGTTTGAAGCAGAACTCCTGGGAAAATTGTTCTTAATCCTTAAAGTGGTACCACCCCCACACTGCAAGGGTTAACTGCTCGTTTTTGTCTAGCTTCAAAAATAAAGTTAGTCACCCAATCCTTGAAGCTGGCTTGCTCTTAGACCAGTCTTCCTCCGCTGCAGCAGTCTAAGGTCCCGTTAATCATCGCGTCCTAAACACTGGGGGTGGAGCAGCTGTGTATGGCAACCAATCAGCTTCTCTCTTCAGTTTGTTCCGTTAAGGTGCCCACACACCTTGCGATAATCGCGGGAAAGCCCGCGATCGCACGATTATCGTAAGGTGTGTGGAAGCCGTGCGACCTCTACTACTGTAAGGTCGCACAACTTTTATCTTACAAACATGTTCGAAAACCCGCCGAGAATCGTAACGATTTTCGGCGGGTGTGTAGCATGTTCTTAAGATAAAAGCCGGACGGGCCGGTGTGCGCAAAAGCACACTGCCCATTCGGCATTGCGGTAATCGGAAGCCCGTCCCTCAGCGGGGCGGGCTTGCGATCATCGCAAGTACGATCTGCCTGTCCGAGATGGGCAGATTGTACATTTTTTTAATTACCTTACAACCATCGCAAGACAAAAGTCTTGCGATGGTTGTAAGGTGTGTGCCCAGCCTTAAGGCCTCATTTCACACTGCCGCGCGTATATGAGTGTATAGTAACATATGCAAATAAATGGCTCCATACACATAGCTGCGTATGGAGCCGTATTTTTGCTCAGCGTATAAATGCGCAAAAACAGAATGGAACCGAGATGCGTCCATGCAGCGTATTTCTGCGTATATAGGCACGCACAGTTCATTAACATTTCTATTACGAATGATGCATTGTTGTATTGCAAATAGTGCGCACATATACGCTCGTATACACGCGCATGTATGCGTATATAAGCAAAATACAATTTTGCTCTTGCGTTGTGTGCGAATGAGGCCTAAGATTTGAAAATGCAAGAGGGAAGCTGATTGGTTGCCATGCACAGCCTCCGGATTTTGTCTGCTCCAGGTTTGATAAATTCCCTTCTGTGTATAGGACCTGAGGATGCCGAGAGACATACCATCGCTGCAGTTTAGGAGGAGACAGGCAGCAGGGAGATCTGCCGCAGCCAGCCAGCTACGAGGATCGAGTAAGTATAACTGTTATTTTTGAACAAAAACAAGCACTTAACCCTTGAAGGACAGGGGTAACCCCACTGCAAGGATTAAGAAAAAAAAAATGTTTCCCTGAAGTTCTGCTCTAATTTATCAAACTACCAGGAAGACGACACTGGGGACAGCACAGGAGTGAAATCTACATGCAGGTGCTGACAGCTTAGGTTGTCAACTACATGAAGGGGAATTTATCAAAACTGGAGCAGCCAAAATCTGGAGCAACCAATCAGCTTCTCTCCTCAGTTTGTTCAGTTGAGAGAAGCCGATTGGTTGCCACAAGCAACTGCTACAGATTCTGTCTGCTCTAGTTTTGATCAATTTCCCCCAATGTGCTTCTGATTTGTAACTATTTTACCACAGATCTGCTTTAACAATAGCTGGGAAAACACACAGGGGGAGAAATCAGCTTCTCTCTTTTGTTTGTTCAGTTAAGATTTGAAAATGAAAGATAGAAGCCGATAGGTTGCCATACACAGCTGCTCCAGATTTTGTCTGCTCCAGGTTTTGATAAATTCCCCTCATAATACAGACACACTCATTAACATTTAAAAATCCTTTCCCTGCAAACAAGTGTGAAATCGCTCAATACAACCTGATAGTGGTATCCATTGTGAGCACCCAGCTGCCTTTACTTGATACACAGCCCTGATGATTTCATATCACTCTGTGCAACAATCTCACTTCCAGCACTATTAAGGTGGCCATACACTTTACAACCATCGCAAGACGCAATGTAAAGTAAAGTAATTTAAAAAACGTACGATCTGCCCATCTTGGACAGACAGATCGTACTTGCGATGACCGCAATGCTGAACGGGCAGTGTGCGCACACTAGCCCGTTCGGCATTTGTCTACCGAGCATGCCACAAACCAGCCGAAAATCTCCTTAGACAAAAGACGTGCATACCACGACCATACAGTAAAAACGGTCGCACGCCTGCCATACACTTTGCGATTATCGTAGGATCGCGGGATTTCCCGCGATAATCGCACAGTGTATGGGCACCCTTAAGAGTGCAAAAAGACCATCTCTAGTACCACTGCCAATATAAAATGTAATGATCTAAACTACTGCACAGAGGAATGAGGATGTGATCATTAATGTGTACATGTCCTAACTGAATAAAAATGAATAGAAACTCCTTCTTGCCTAGTCACAGACCTGAAACAAATACACAGATCAGTGAAGACTGCATGCGGTCTGAGGCAAATGTATCTCACAGATTGAAATGAGACAGCCAGATAACTAGCAATCTCAGGAAGACAGTAAGGTTGGGACTAATTCCTCACAGGATTATGTAGATAAAAATGTCATCCTTGGACTTGATTCACCAGATGAACTTTATCCTTATCTTTAAAATGATAACAAAGGCACCATTAGAAATGTTTAGTAATGGCAATCTGCAAACGTATAGATAATTGCCGACTTTTTATTATTTGCATAACTTCTTTTCTTCCTTAGTCTTCTCACAGTGGCCACTTTACTAAGAGTGGATTGATAGATCTCCCTTTACTTCCTGGAACTCTGGCACATGTCACCATGCATATCAAGAAAAAAAATGCCGTTCCCTGTGAATGACGCAAGATTTTGCAGTTTACATCACAGCACATTGCTGGGAAATCTTATCTGTAACTTTCCCAGGATGCAGCTCTTAGGAATAAGCTACATCACTAAGGACTTAAGACGACCAGGAAGTGGAAAAACAGTGAATGTAAGTGAATGAATGTAAGCGCGCTCAGCGCACACACGAGTGAGGAAACTGTCAGCATGTAAACAGTCAGCGATGGCCGTCTGGAGACGACCGATCGCTTGCAGGAGCTGCACCCCCCTACACAATCAGTCTCTTCTCGGTCCCCGAATGCAGGAAGTGATGTGCACCACACCACTTCCTG